AGTGCCCAGGACAATGGTTAAAGACCCAACATCTTCAAATACACTGGTAAGTATGCTTCTATGACTTACCATTTATCTATGTTTCACAACATATTTTTCAGCAAATGGTGAACATTTAGAAAGTAAGGTGGCTCAGTGGTGTCATACGTTTCACATTGGTGGTTCACGTCCTGTAGCCTGTGTTGTTGTTGTTGCTCTTGTCAGGATCAGTCCCTGCCTTGTTGTTTCCCCATTTGATCAGCAAGTGTCACTGGCCATCCTTTTCTTTTTTGTGTTCCTACTGTTTGAGTCTTTAATGACTGTTAATGACCGTCACCTGTTCCTTGGTATTCCTAGCCCTAGTGTTTGGTTAACTTGTAGTCACCCACACCTGTCCCTCGTCTAGCCCTCGTTTCCTGTGTGTTTATGTACTTGCCCTTGCCATGTTCCTCTGTTTGTCATTGTAGATGTTTCATAATTTGTAGCTGCTTGTGTTCCTTGTGTTGGTTTCTTACATGTTACCTCAATGGGCATAGGTTACCTGATTGTGTTTGTGTTTATTCTGATTCAGTTCAGTGCAATTTTTAAAAAAAGTTCCCATTCTCTTGTAATCTGCACTGTGGATCATCATTCACTCTGCTTAGTCATGACAGTTCTCGCATGTTGAGTTTCCATCAAAGAAATCTGGATTTTTATATTTTTGCAGGCATGTGGTCCCACTATACCAAGAGACTGTAGTTCCTTTACAACATACAATGGCATGTGTTTCCAACTAAGTGGTCAACTCGTTCCTGGGTCTGGAATTCCATCGTCTCTCAAAGGTTAGAGAAACTGAAAAGCCTTTCAGAAAAGGGGATGCATATAATTTAATGGAAAAAAAAGATTGGGGAATCCATAATGTAAAACATACAGATATATGTCTTAAACCTATGCTTAATCAGATTTGTGGTACTTAATTTTTTTTAATCATTCCAGAAAGAAATGTACAATTTAATGTTAAATTTGTGCTGAAGAGAGAACATTGGGTGATTAAAATAATAAAAATGAAAATTGAAACATTAATAGAAAACAAAGGGAAACTTCATAGAATACTAAAACACTAAAAGTTTGGTCACCTGTAAGCTGCTGAGCTATGACATTTAGGCTGACACTGATGGATGGTTCTACTGTTTCATGCAGAATATTACTCAATATTTAGCTGTAAATCCCTTTATCTATCCATCCATCCATCCATCGGTCTAGCTTCCAGCCATTAATCCATTACTGGGCCTTGGGCTGTTTAAAACTTCATACAATTTATTCTGCACAGCAAATACAGGCTGAAAAAATCAACTCTAATAGAAAAAGAGAAATTGGTCCTATTTTTACAATAATTGCATACCTGAAACACTCAAGAAAACTGAAAAACACATAACTCAGTTTACAAGATACTGTATGTATCTTCACCATTGTACCTAGGTTTCCTCTTTAAATATCTGGTGAAAAATGTTATAATAAATAATATTGAAGAGAAAGGTTCCTTAAAATGTTAAGAATTCGCTTACATTTTCTATAAATGTTAGTGTGTTCCCTGAAGTATTTTGTTAAGTTGGTTGTCACTACCACAGACACTCTCTTGTTAAGATGGAAACTGAAAAGGTATTCAACAAATCTTTATCAAACTTTGCTGAGACATTGTATGTAGTGAAGAGATGGAAGTGCTCGAAATTTGAGATAAATTGCAGCAAAATGAAAGCAATGCTGCATAGTGGTAGCAAAGACAAGGCCTAAGACACTTGTTACTGTGATAACTGAAAAAGTATTTGACAACCTTTACAGACACATTGTAAGGTTAAACATGTGGACTTATTCAAATTCTGAGAGAAATAGCACCAAAACTGAAGCAACTCCACTGTCAGAAATATTCAAACTGTGGGGGGCAGAGCAATTGCAGGAGGGGTTGTGGGTGAAAGGAAAAAACAGAACTGTGTGGGCAGTCCGGTTTAGAAACTGAAACCTTTAGAAATATAAAAAATAATTAAAAAAATTATATGGCTGTATATTACATGACACAAAATAAATACATTTTATGAAATTTTATTTATCAATCAAATTATCTTTGAGGACAATGTGTGGAGGTGGTCAAGACAAATATAACAGCCCTATAGGGGCTCTGTCAAAAAAAGTTTGAATACCACCGATCAAGTAGTACTGTAAGTGATGTCAGAAGAAAATCACAATGGGGTCTGTGTGTGTGTGTGTGGATTAGGTTTATTACATTGTGGGGACCAAATGTCCTCCCAATGTATGTGAAACCTCTTTTTTTGATGTTGTGCGTACCATTTTTCAGACTTGGGGTCTATAATGTGGAAGATTTTCAGATGTAGGTTTTCATCTGTATGATGTTTTTGTGAATTGGTAATAAGATCCATCAAAGCACAAATAGAATAAACAGAGTAATAACATAAAAAAAACCTTGTTGACTAAAGCTCATTCATTTACTATTTACTTTGCTGTTACTAGTGCAATTTCAAAAATTCTATCTCAAAAATTAGACAGGTGTAGATCTTCATCTAAACAATGAGCCTGCAAATAAACTCAGACAATCTTTGAGTTAGCATACTCAAAGCAATCAGCTGTCTAAGCGGACCTTTGTTTTGTTATCACTATGCGGCTGTTAAAAAGGACAACAATAAAGAGTGGTAATGGGTGGTAAATTGATTTCATATAGATTTCAGTTTTTTAATCTACAGACATCCTCTACTGACTACAGGTACCCCCACATAGGAAAACCCCAGGACTTCTGCCAATTTCTAATCAATAAACCAACTGACTTCCATCTAGTCACCACCCCTGTATAGTTATTATCCTAAAGGAGTTGGTTAATATAACCAATGGCCCCTGGAAACAGGTGCTGAATAGGCAGTTTCAATAGACAAAAGGGGCAAACTTTGTTGCAGAGCCTGTTGGATTTAAAAGTTTGTGCATATATGAGAATAATCCACACACACTATATATGTAAATACCAAATTTATTTTAATACATCAGTTTGTGAGAACTGCTGGCAGTTTTGGAGTCTTTGTTAGTATTCTAAGCACAATGATCACAGCTACCACATCAAACTTTCTCATACAGTAGCACTACTTCAGTTTTGGTGAGACTTGTCTCAAAATGTGAACAGGTTCAAATTTTCATCCTTACAACTTGCAGTTGTCTGCAATTGTTAAAAAGATATGTCAAATACATTTTTAAGTTATTACGCTAATGGGAACAAATGTCTAAAACTACCCTTTTTTGCCATCACCTTGCAATGCTGCTTCAATTTTGGGGCAACCTGTCTCAAAATTTGATTGCTTCCAGATTGACACCTATAAAATGTGTCTGCAAAGTTTGAAAAAGATCCATAAAATTTGGAACTGTGTTCCAAAGACAAAGTGTCTTTCTGAGAGTGGGACAAGCAGAGTCGCCCTCTTGATGTACTTAAACTGACCGACACTGAATGCATCACATGTTTCTAAGTGGATCGTGAAACGCCCCATTTTGAACCAATACAGGATGTAATTTGTGCTGTATTTTCAACCACATACGTATTGGCCGACTTCATATATACACAACATACACTAGGTCAGGGGTCCCCAACGGAACTACCTGACCAGGACACCTGCCTAATTGGTAACCAACATTATGCCTAATGGTGCATTTGTGTGGGTTTTTACTTTTTAGTGACAGGTTTGGAATAATACATCACACCCTGTGCTGTAGCATATACAGTAAGCTTGTTTGGACTATGCAGTTGATTGCATTATTTTTTTTATCAGCATTAAATATAATTCATAAGGCATCCTATCCCAAATCGGCTCATCATGAGACTAGTGGCAAGCTCATGTTTGTATGTAGCCACACTGCCATCAGGAATGATATTGACTGGAGTGGTTTAATCATCAAACATTTAAACTTGTATACAGTTCATTAATAATAGTTTGTTTATATCTATGGTCTTTAACTGCTCTTTTCTTGCCTCTTTTCTACAGACTGTCCTGTTTCAGATACAGATATTGTGTTCCTAATAGATGGTTCAGGCAGTGTTTCAATGGGAGATTTTGACCGGATGAAGATGTTTATGAAAAAATTAATTACACAGTTTTTAGGGCGAAATAGTCAGGTAAGTAAGAAAAGACTTGCTATATGTTTCACAGCTACATCACAAATCACTTTTTCAGATACGTTATAAATTTACACATTGAATAAATTTTTAAACCCTATTGTTTTATTTTATTTTAATTACAGACTACCGATTCAGTATGATACTTATACAATTAATATGTGTTTTCTGCAATGTTTATTTTATAAAAAAATGACAAATTATATCATCTGGTTGAATATCTTGAATTCCTTGAGTCTATATATGTAATAATAGTCTTACTGTATGCTAAAGGAACATTCTGAAAAAATACTTGTGGTTACATACCAAATGCAATGTTATGCAAATCAGACATTGAAAATTCATTCTGGTTCTGTTTGATTCCAAGTATAGAAACAATGTTTGCTTCTACCGCCAACCCAGATCATTTTATGTTGCAGTTTGGTATAATGCAGTATTCCAGTCGGTTTAGAATCGAAATGGACTTCAATTATTTCAGAACTTCAGGCTGGTCCAGCAGGATCAATGAAATTAGTCAGCAAAGAGGTGCGACTTTCACTCCAACTGCAATACGAGAAGTAGTGTAAGTGAAATGTCTTTGGATGAAGTCTGGTGTAATGAATAAGCCTGTTATTCTCCTGGGAAGAATAAGGCATAAAGAATGTTGAGTCATTGATGAGACAGCAGTCCAGAGAAAACACACTTTCTGATGCACATTGATGCACTGATTCATTGGTATAAAATATACGGTAACCTGTTTACCCGAAAAGCATCTTTGGAATGTAGTAGTATTTCACTCAGTGCTTCACTGATATTTTACTGCTTTGTACATAATAAAATGTTCCTGAAATATTAGGTATGTGAAATAGTAAATGGCTGCTGGTTTTAACCTTATTTAGTTCCAGATCCTAGTTATTAGTTCCTAGTTTCAAGAACTGTATCTTGAAAAAAAGAAAATAACCATTCATTTTTCATTCATTTTCTGCACCCGTTTGTTCTGTGGGGAGTTGGGGGGGTTTGGAGCCCAAGGCAGAGCAGGGCAGGGACTGAATCGCTTATTCAGTCAGGTTATACTTTGTTGAAAATCAGCTGGAAAGTAGTGCTTGATTAGCAATCTCACACCGAGACAAACCCCCAGAGGGTATTACAGAAAGCCAGTTTAGGAGTTCAGTAAAACAAAATCTTTCCTACATTAAACTGCTCTTGAGTAACCGGAACATTATTTTTGGTAAGAGACATGGCTGTTGAATTTTTCAAACAAAATTCTTTTGGTGCCTTAAACACCACAGAAAAAAGCCATACAGTCAAATTACACTCAAGAGAAGACCTACATTTCTACAGCTCCAAAATTAGGCAGCTCCTTGATGGACAGATAATACTAAAGCCCCTGTAAAACATATCTTTTTTCAGTTTTGGGATGAACTATCACTTTAAATCACTGCAGTTTCATTCATGTGTTCTTTATCACTTACATAAAAATGACACACACAAACTTCTTCTTTCAAAGAGATTACAAATCATCCATCTTTTGACAACCACAATACTCAGCTTTAACTAGTATTATAGCACTTGAATTTCAGTTTTTTTTAAAGATTAATTTGCTTCATCTTGAGATAACACTATTTGCTTCTCCAGATGGACCATGTATAGTTCTTTAAGGAATAAGTTCATACTGGGCTCAGCTGGGTTGTCGAGGTCAATGTTATGTTGCGATAGCGGATAAACCAGACAAAGCTCTTGCTGGAGTGAACTCACTCTATGAACAATCCCATTAATCCCCATTCACGGACATCACTTTCGTAAAACATAAAATAAGATCAGAACACAGCAATGCCTGGCATAACATTTCCCCCCACAAGTGTGATACTCAGTCACAAAGTTACATAGGTGCACTGGTCAGTGATGTGCATGGATTGGGCAGGGCACAGGTCCAGTGCTAGCCTCAAGGTTTGGCTCCATGGCTTCTGACTGGACAGGAGGGACTGGGGTGTCGAGCTGCAGAGGGGCTGAGGGATGCTGAGGTGTCAGCCTCTGAGGCCGGTTGGGCTGCACACAATCCTGGCCTGTACTTTGTGCAGGAGGCTAGCATGCCAGGGAGTGCCATCCATGAGCTTGAATATGGCTGGGCTGAGTTGTCGGCTGACTTGGACAGGATCTGACCAGAATGACTCGTCGGATCCTAGCCTAGTCATAAGCGGCAACTGCAGGTGGCCTGGCTCATCGTGTTCAGTTGGACTGGTTCTTCATCTGGCTCTTAAACGTGTCAACTGTGGCTTGACTGGGTGAGCTAGAGCATGGGCCAGAGCTGGGCAAAGTCTATCCAGAGGTAGTTGAAGCTCCCATCCCAATTTTAGGAAGGCTGGGGAGTCTCTAGTGGTGGCGTCTGGGGTGGCACGATAGTGTAGCAGTGTCTGAAAGAGGCTGGTACTGAATGTGCACCCTTGAGTGAGGTACCCCCTGATTCCATTCTTTAGGAGCTGATTTAGTCATTCCACCCCTCATTGGCAGCTGGGTTATAGAAAGCTGTGCGGATATCTCTCCCAGATAGGAGGACATTTCATCTGAATGTAAATTCTATGTACTTTTATAATGTTTCTGCAAGTGTTCCAAACTGCATTTTGCAATGTCTATACTTTGATGTCAAATTACAAACTTAACATAAATCTGACATATTTACAATACACATTAAAATTAAGATGAGTTTAATGGCAAAACAAATATATAAGAAATAATTTATTTGCCATGAATTAAGTTTATGATATTTAAAGAAATGTGTAAGTCATGCCCCAGTCAGTGAAAATGTGTTCCCTACCCCCAGACCCCAAAGGGTTACCACTTTGGCTGTAATCGAGCTTGCAGGTGTCACCTCTGACCACTTAGAGTAGAGGTCATAGATCACAACCAGAAACCACGGGTGGTGTTGTACCCCATTCAGCTAGCCGCAGTTGTCAAGTTGTAGCTGTAGCTTAAGTTGTGCTCCCAGAGTTCTGATGGCCAGTCCAGGGGCTGCATGGGTGAGGGAAGGGCTGGGGCCCTAGTCTTGCTGCTCAGAAGACAAGCAGTGCAGTCCTTGACCAGGTTCTCAATGTCTCTGTCAATCCCTGGGCACCACCCAAGGTTCCAGCATCGTTGTTTGAGCATGACTATACCCAAGTGGCTTTTGTGTGCCATAGCAAGTACATTCAGATGAAGAGCACTCGGGACAGTAGAGAGCCCTCTGGCAACGTGAGTACCATTCCAGCATGCAAACTCCTCACGTATCCTGAAGTAGGGAGCTATCTCATTCGACATCTTTGTAGGCCAGTCTTGCCTGATCTACATCAAAACTGAGGAGAGGACAGGGTCAGCTGCTGAGGCGTCCTGGGGTTCTTTCAGTGACAGTGTCCCGAAGGAGTCTGAGCATGATCTGCCTGGTCGTGCTCAGGCCATGAGACCTGGGATGTGGGTGGCTTGGGGTGTGATAGCAGGTCAGCCCAACTGTGAAGGTGGAGTGGTTTATGATCAGTGCCTGACATGGCCAGGATGGTGCTGATTGCATGGTAGTCCATCCTCAAAGTAAATTTATGTCCATTGAGGTCTTGTGCCAGCATTCACAGGCCCAGAAGCACACCAGAGCCTCTCGCTCCCCTATTGAGTACCTCTGTTCCGTACAGAGCATGTGAGCGAGGAGCGGAGCGGGCAGAATTTGGTCAGAGTGCAGAGCGGTTTTTTAATTAAGGCTGGAGCGGTCGCTTTGTCTCGCTCCAATTTCGCTCCAATACCGCTCACACTACAATTCTGAGGCGTGCCCAAATCTACCCAGAATTCATCTGTACAATTATCAAGACTGTTACACAAATTGGCCGAGATGGAATTCGCAAAGTATTTCATAAAGGAAACTGATAAATCATACAAGTGTACTATTCTAATCAAACGTATAGATGACAAGAATGTACAGCAAGAACAACAATGTGGTGAAACTGTTTCAGTGAGTAAAGATTCACTTTGGAATCACTTTTCTCAGAAACATGAGTGTGCTACGCGAACAAGCGGAAGCCAGAGCAAAACGCGTGCAACTTTTATATGGTTGTAGCATATCAAGTCTATAAAGTAAATTAAAGTAAAAAAAGCCTATAAAGTAAATATTGGTAATCAAATAAATTCGTTTTGTCATTCAAAGTAGGTCTAATAAGATTTTTTTTTATTTCATGTAACGTAAAATTTTATTTTAGAGACGTGCTGCATCAACAGAAAAAAATTGAGGAATTTAAAACGTGTCTGTATATTCTTTAGGCTATTAAACCCACTGATTCCTTTATTTTTAAGCCTATTTTTGCGTGGAATGCCATTTCCAAACCTGTCCGTTGTTGCCGATAGGTTGCTTAAAAATAAATATTTTCTGTTCTGACTGGCAATGTTGCCGTTGCTCATATTTCTTTATGACATAAGGCTTCGGTTTAAGGTGACATTTGTTAGGCATGCAGATTATTTGTCCCTTTTTTAAATTGGAGCGAGCGTGGAGCGATTTGACTGGAGCGGGAGGACATTTTAGTGGAGTGAGGAGCGGTGTTGAGCGGAGCGGCTTAGTGCGAATTAGAGTGGAGGAGCGGGTGTAGCCAATAGCCTCGTGAGCGAGGAGCGGAAATTCTCACCGCTCCGCTCCGCTCACATGCTCTGGTTCCGTAGGGCTGAGCGCTTAGCGCTTGGAAATTAAAGGCAATCGGTCTTTCCACTCTCCCCTGGAGCTGGGATGTCACGGCACTTATTCTGAAGGTGGAGACGTCACATGTGACAATGGTAGGGCTGGCTGGCTCAAAGTATGTCAGGATCAGTGGCGAGGTGAGCTGTGACTTCAAGTGGCATCAGAGCAGGCAGATGTCCAGAGCCAGGGTTCATTAGCCCTCAATACAGTAGTTTGAGCAGTGGTGCCATTGTGTCAGAGTACTGCAGTAAAAATCAGAGATAATATGTGGTTATGCCCAAGAAAGAAGCAACCTAGCCAGGCAAGTTGGCCTCTGGGACCTGAAGCATGGTGTGTGAGTGAAGTGGGCGTATGCCCTCAGCAGAGAGGTGGAACCCCACATACTCGATGGCTGAGGCCTCAACAATGCACTTTTCACCATTAAGTGTTAGGTGATGCTCAGCTAATGCCACAAACACACTATGGAGGCATTTGTCATGCACTATGGTGGTGGTGCCATGGACGATGATGTTGTATAGGTAGAAGGCCAGGCCTGAGATTCCAGCCAAGATGGAGGCCATAGTTTTCTGGAAACAACCTGGGGTTGAACTCAATCCAAAAACCAGGCACTTGTAGCAGAAGACTCCTTTGGGTAATGAAGGCATCTTTCAGGGACAGCATGTGTTCGGAACTTCTGCTACAACTACCAGGTATGATGAGGAAGTGAGACTACTCGGACACCATGTTGCCATCCCGCAGAGCTCTCTTCTCCGTCGTGTTTCATTCAGGCACCGACACCAACGAGTGGATAAGTCTGTATCTCAGTACGTGGCCAATCTATTTTACCCAGCCACAGTCATCGACTCCCCCCACCAATGCCGCTAGCAGCTCAGATAGTGCACAAATAGCCTCGCAACCTCGTG